TATATATATATATATATATAATGATAAATGATAATCACATTGTGTAATATGCATAAAAGGTTATAATAAAGTACTAATTGGCGAAACAAACATGAGTCCTTTGAAAGATGAATTAGTGTAGATGAGGCCATTATACTACAAGATAGAAAGCATAAGTTACATGTGTCCTGTGAAAGATGAATTAGTAATATAGAAACCAATAAAAAAAAATAGGTATTAATTTTGCAGAAATTAATTCAAATGAGTAGGAGAGAGGGAAGAAGATAGACCCAAGTGTTTTTCAAAGCACATACTGAGGGAAATGGCCATTTGTAATGCTTGTTCCATTACTCTAGAAATTGTTGTCTATATTTTTTGGAGAGGTTATCTTTCTTTTCTTCAAAAACTCAAGCAGCTGAAATTTGTAATGTTTGTTCCACCTGCAATAAGTTAAATAAGTAACAATATTTGAAAGAATCGGGAGCATAAACATAACAACGTAAAAATTTGTATATATGCAACAAACATACCAAGCTATGCACATCAAGCTTTATCACTTTGAACTTGAAATAGAAAATATACAAGAAAGAAACTGCAATATATGATTAGTAGGGAAAAAAGGCTAGAAATAATATTGATGATTAAAATAAAATGTTTGAGTACCTTGTGACGCTTCAAAATTAAGATGATCGGGGATGTAGAAAATATTCCTTAAAACAGATATCATCTACAATTTTTCTTCTGTATATACTCATCCTGTCTCATGAAACTGTTTCTTATGGGTATTTTAAAACAAAGCATTCTATGAATTTGAGTACAAATATTATGCAGTTTGGTCTTAAAAAAAAGATTCATGTTAAATGAAAGTAATACTATAGATGTAAAATTAAATAAAATAAGAAAATATAATTATAGTAAATAGTATTTGAATATTTACCCATTGTTTGCATAAGATAAATAAGTTATGATTTCTACTGCCATCTTTTTGTTTATATATTTGCTCAGATATGGTCGATTGGATAAAAATATTGGAGAGGACAACAATACATGGACATAAGTATTTATATTATACTTCCATGTGGTGTATGGACATTGTGGCTGCAGTCATAGATTTGAAATTTTCATTCACGAAAATAAATAAGATAAAGATATCAATTGTTGTCTGGATGTGAATATGGAATTAATAAATAGTTGCACCGTATCCATGGACGACCAGTGATTGGGCGGTTGCCATTCACGTACTTTTTTAAATGAGTGACGTTTGTAGGTTTGCTGTTATTTTTCTATTTTTCGTTAATCATCCATATATGCTGAAGATCAC